GGGGGCAGCCCCCGGCCTGCGTCCCGCCTGCACGGCAAGGGAGGGGAAGGGGATCCTGCCGCCGAGCGGGGCTCTGTGGGCTCTCACGCCGTGCACGGGCCCTGCCGCCTGGCCGCGGAGACCTGGACAGGGTCCGAGCGCCCTACCGGACCCGCGCTGCCGTCCGTTTTCCCCGCAGCCCTGCGTCCCGGAACTTCACCAGCCCCAGGTCTCAGCCGACCCTGCACAGGAACGAGCCCAACCAGAGAGTGAGTGGGCAGCAGGGCTGGAGACCGAGGCAGGACTCCAACCTTCGGCTCCCACCGGCGATGCCACGGAGCTTTATTTTGACCTATTAGGCTAACAAAGCGAGAACGCGCCGAGCTGCACTGGCCGGTTTGGCTCAGTGGATAGAGCGTCGGCCTGCGGACTGAAGGGTCCCGGGTTCGATTCCGGTCAAGGGCATGTACCTTGGTTGCAGGCACATCCCCAGTGGGGGGGGTGCAGGAGGCACCTGATCGATGTTTCTCTCTCATCGATGTTTCTAGCTCTCTATCCCTCTCTCTTCCTCTCTGTAAAATATCAACAAAAAAGAAAACTCAGAGCTTTGGGAATGCTCTCACATTGAATTTGTGGTCATCTGACTGCAGGCTGGCCATTTCATACCCCAAACAGCTGCTGAAGTGACATTTAATAACATAGATTATGCTACTTTATTTCCTACTAAAGGCCTTCCCTGGGTCCCACTGAGTCTGACATAAAAGCCTTTTTACACTCAGGCCCTCTGTGTCTGTGCCCGCCTTCCCTGCCTGCCCTCTCCTTAAGCACACCTTGGCCCAGGATCCCCGGCCTCACCTTCCCGCCCTCCTGGCGCTGTTAGATGTGATCTCACTTACCCGTGGCCCTGCTTTTTGTTTGTTTTGTTGTTTTTTTAAAACACTTTTATTGATTTCAGAGAGGAAGGGAGAGGGATAGTGATAGAAACAACAATGATGAGAGAGAAGCATTGATCGGCCGCCTCTTGCTCGCCCCCTTCTGGGGATCAAGCTCACAACCCAGGCATGTGCCCTTGACTGGAATCGAACCCAGGACCCTTCAGCCCGCAAGTCAATGCTCTATCCACTGAGCCAAACCAGCCAGGGCTGTTTTGTTTTGTCTGCCCCGAAAGGGCAGGGAACTGTCTTGTTCCCCACAGCATCCCCACCTCCTCATAGGATGCTGCCTGCTGGGCTTACAGAGAACTCCAGACACATTTGTTGAGTAAATGAGTGAATTGTGCCGGCCACAGCGCCACGCTTGCTAGGTCACATGTCAGGCATCGGAAACGGCACCACAGAGCCCTGTTTCAAGTCTGTGTGAGCCGCGCGGGTCCAGCCTTGGAGAAGCGCTGCAGGATCTGCCGGCTTCGGCTCTGGTGGCGGCGACTAGCTGTGGTCACTAGTGACTGTGCACGTCCTCATTTGGGCAAGTGCCCTCTGCGACCGCCCTCAGCCTGTGATGGGTTCGGAGTGAGAGAGCAAGTTCTGGAGCAACTGAGGGTAGAGCACGACTCTATGCTGTGGCCCAGACGTCATCTCCCCAGCAGCCCCGCTCGCTCCGGTGCTCCTCTTGCCTCCTCCCTTGAGGAGGCCTCAGAAATCCAGCCTTTTCGGTCTCCTGCTTGGCTCCTGCCACTAATCTGCTTGGCTGCTCTTGCCACCTTTCCCTCTTCTGTGACCCTAAAGGCCAGCCCAGGCATTTCTGTTTTATTTTACTGTAAGAGTTTTGGCATGTAATTAACAGTGGAAAACAAAGAAGATAGGCCCCGTCGGCGTGGCTCAGTGGTTGAGCATCATCCTATGAACCAGAAAGTCACAGTTCAATTCCTGATCAGGGCACATGCCCAGGTTTCAGATTCGATCCCCAGTTTAGGGCGTGCAGGAGGCAGCTGATCCATGATTCTCTCTCATCATTGATGTTTCTATCTCTCTCTCCCTCTCCCTTCCGCCATCTTTGTTGGCAGTTAATTTGCATATTCTGCTGATTAGCCAATGGGAAGCGTAGCAAAGGTATGGTCAATTACCATGTTTGTCTATTATTAGATAGGAGATATATATATATATATATATACATATATACATATATGTATATATATATATATATTCTTTTTTAGAAAAAGAAAACTGAAAATATCAAACAAATACTTAAGGAATTTTAAAATGTTGCAAAATGTTACAAAACCCTGCTGGGACCTGTTCTATAATTCCTATTTCCAAGAGAGTAAATGGAAACCACATGAGGTTTTCTTCTCTAATTTACTCTTTGGAGGGCAGGCACCCACACCTCTTTGAAACGCCATCCTCTGAGCCCCACTGGGTGGGCTGTTTCCCGAACCGCGGTCCTTGTTGCCTCTTAGAGAACAAGTCAGGACAGAGCAGCGTGTTCCTCTGAGCGGCCTGCGTGCAGGGAAGAGCTTCGTGCCAGCGCTGGGCAACCCGGGACTTACCCACCTGGGCCCCATAGCAAGGCCTGAGCCGCAGCTGATCTGAGTCATGAGCCTCCAGAACAGGAGCGCATGAGGAGCCGCTGCCGCTCCGCTCCCAGTCTCCCCGGGAGGTTGTCATGAGAGCGGTTATCATTATTTCCCGGATTGTGACTGAGGCTTTCTGCTCCCCTCCCCCGCCCCTCCACAGGTCAGTTGCAGACCATACAAAAGCCAGTTTGCTCAGTGACTAGAGCCTTGGCCCATGGACTGAAGGGTCTCAGGTTCGATTCCTAGTCAAGGTGTACCTCGTACCTCGGTTGCAGGTTCTAGGCCCCAGTGGGGGTGCAGGAGGGAGGCGACCTAGAGATGGGTCTCTCACATCTATGTCCCCCCCCCCTTTGTCCTTCCCTTCCATCTTCCTCCCTCCCTTCCTTCCACTCTCTCTAGGAATCAATGGAAAAAAATATCTTGGGTGAGGCCTTGGCCCTCAGCCCCGAGGCGGTCCGTGGCTCAGTGCAGCCATCTGGCTCCTTCTGTTTTGGTGTGGGCCTTTTGGGGTGTGTGTGTGTGTGTGTGTGTGTGTGTGTGTGTGTGTGACAAAAGCTCGAGAGGAGTTGGGACTTTGGGCCAATCTTGCTTTCACTGTCTGTTTAAATAATAATCTGTCTAAATCTAAAAAGCACTTGTTCCTTTACCAGCCACGTTTTTCAACTTTGCCTTAAACTATCTCCTTCATTCATTAATGGCAACAACAAAAAACCCACAACCAACCAAGTGAAAAGCAGATACTAATACCTTCCAGAGAACTGATGACGAAAATGAGGTCATGATTTCTTCTTAGCATTAGCCTCTCCTTAAGGACTTAGACAAGGAGACAAGCATTTACAAGGCAGCAGAGACTGCCACAGAGGAGCAGCGTAGAGCGCCATCAGGGGGCCTAAAGGAGGCGTGCTGAGGGGCAGGGAGGCACCAGGAGGTGGAGAAAGAGAAGCTTTCACTTGGGAAGAGAAGCACAGGCCTTCAGATCTGGTGTTACAGATGTCAAGCCTTTTCCAGGCTTGTCTCTAACAATTGCTTTGGAGCCCTCATTCCCACTGCTCAGCTCAGAAGTTCCTCCCGGGGGCCCTTTAAGTCCACTGGTTAGGATCCCCATGATCTGAGGAGTGCACTGCACCAGGAATCCTCTGTTAGCCTAACTGGCAGGCATTGTTAGTGTCCTACATGAAACACTCCCCTTCTTTTTAAAAAAAAAAAAAATTTTATTGATTTTTTTACAGAGAGGAAGAGAGAGGGATAGAGAGTTAGAAACATCCATGAGAGAGAAACATCGATCAGCTGCCTCCTGCACACCTCCTACTGGGGATGTGCCCGCAACCCAGGTACATGCCCTTGACCGGAATCGAACCTGGGACCCTTCAGTCCACAGGCCGATGCTCTATCCACCAAGCCAAACTGGTCAGGGCATCCCCTTACTTCTAATACAACTCTGATCTTTTGCATTTGGGAGTGGTGGGCAACACGGGGCTCAGCCATATGCAAGACACTGTATTGAGGCCCTAGCTGGTTTGGCTCAGTGGATAGTGTCCGCCTGCAGGCTGAGGGGTTCCAGGTTTGATTCTGGTCAAGGGCACATGCCCAGTTTGCGGGCTGGATCCCCAGTAGGGGGCGTGCAGGAGGCAGCCGATCAATGATTCTCTCTCATCATTGATGTTTCTATTTCTCTCTCCCCCTTCCTCTCTGAAATCAATAAAAAAATTATAAGAGAAATAAAAAGAAATGGTATTGAGCTAACCATCCATGACCATTCTATTTCCCTTGGCCAGGTACTCACATTGCCTCCCTGGCAACTAGGAATGGCCATATTATTCAGTTCTGTTCACTGAGGTGTAAGGGGAAGTAGTCTGTCTTTCAAGAATTGTACCTAGCCCTGGCTGGTGTGGCTCAATTGGTTGGAATGTCCTCATGTGCACAGGAATTTCTGGGTTCAATTCCTGGTCAGGGTAAATACCTGGGTTGTGGGTTCCATGGTCAGGGGAAGTGGGATTTCTGGGTCATACAGTGTTATGAACTGTATGTTTGTGCTTGGCCCCCCCAAAAAACTCACATATTGAAACCCTAACCCCCATGTGATGGTATTTGAAGATGACCACTTCGTAAAGTAATTATATTCAGACTAGAGGCCCGGTGCACGAAATTCATGCTTGGGAGAAAAACACGCCAGCCTGGTCATAGGCAGTCATTTTCTGAGGGCATGAGGGTTAATTTGCATATTGTCTCTTTATTATATAGGATAAGATTAAGAGGATGGGGCCCTTATGATGGGATTAGTGTTCTTATAAGAAAAGATACAGGAAGAAGATGCTTGCTTCTCCCTCTCCTCACTACATGAGGACACAGTGAGAAGTCCTCACCTGGGAACTGAATCAGCTGATTTTGGACTTCTCAGCCTCTGGAACCATAAAAAATAAATTCTTGTTATCTAAGCCATGTGGTACATGGCATGTTGCTATAGCAGCTGGAGCTGAGTAATTGCTGTGGTCACTATGTGCTTATTTCTATGGGAACCTGCCACTTTCCAGAGTGGGTGTGCCATTTTCCAACCCCATCAGCAATGTCCAAGTGTTCCAGCTGCTCACCAGCACTTGCACTTGGCATTAGCTTTTGAATTTTGTCCAACACTTTTATGCATCAGTTGATCAGAACATGTGGTTTTTCCTTTGGAAGCTACTAATCTGGTGGATGACTTTGTTTTTGAGTAGTAGGTGGTGTAACCCTACTTGATGTGGGTGTTTCATTCTGTTTATAGCCGGCTGCATTCAATTGGATAACATTTTGTTGAGGGTTTTTGTGCCGATGCTCATTAAGAGTTTTTGGATTGTAGTTTTCTTGTACTGTCTGCTCTTTTTTCCCCCAATATTTTATTCTCTGTGCTGTTTAAATATGATAATTTCTATTGATTACAGTTATTTGCCCTGTTACCTGGATCCTTCCATTGAGCTCATACAGTGAATATTTTATTCTGGTTGTATTTCTCAGCTCTAAAATTTTCATTTGATTCTTATTTATATTGTTTCTTACCTGAATTTTTCTTTTTCCATTAATTCACTCTTACTTCCTAGGCGTGGTTATTTATAATACCTTAAAGTCTTTGGCATAATTTGATTTTTTCCTTGCAAATTGCGATATTCCGGGTTCTTCCCAGGCCTAGTAATTCTGCACTGTATCCTGTACATTTTGAGTCATGGTATCTGATTCTGGGTATCATCTAAACCGTAGGAGAAGATTGATTGGTTTGGTTTAGCAGGCAGTAGCCCTGGCAAGGGTCAGGCCACAAGCTCTGATCTGCACTGTGTGGGCTGTGGCTCCAATGTCAGTTCCGTTTTCAAACACTCGCAGTGCAACTGGGAGCTGCCCTTTGCATATGCCACCCAGTGGTCAGTCTGGATTCTGGGTGGCGGTCTACTCTGTGGCTCCCTTCTCAACGCCTGCTGTCTGCTCCATGCACGTGCAGTGTAGGGGTGAGCAGAGGAGTTCATACATTGCTTTTGGGGACCACACTTGGTCTCCGTCCTCTAGGCAATAAACTCATCACTTTCTGGCTCCCTGAAGCCTCCATTACCAGCCATTTGGCTAGAAAGCTGGGGTTTCCGTGTCCCTGCCCTGCTGTTCACTCCTCTCAACTGTGTCTGCATCATGGTCCGGGCAGAGGACACAGAATGAAGGCAGGGGGACTGGAACCATGCTCCTGGGACCAACGCTCCTAGTCAGAGCAAAGCTGCCCCTCCCCTGAGTAGAAGGAGCCTTCCCCAGGACCCCTGCCACTGCTGGGCGGCTGCCACATACTGCCGGGAGCCTGGGCCAGAGAGAGCGACCCTGCTTTCCTCCTGAGAGGAGGGAGAAGAAATGATGAGGGACGTAGGTAAGTTGGCAAACTTGGTGGTAAGAGGCTCTAAGAGCTGTCATCTTTCTTTCTGTAACACCGGAGGCACAATCATAGTCACCGGCCCATGATGAGGAAGGTGGCGAGGAGGAGGACAGCAAACACTGTTGATTGAGCCACGTGGTCCCCAATCCCGTTACCAGACATGCAACCAGGAGACGTCAGCAGCCTTTGCAGGGGTTTCTTGGGAAGCCTTCGCTCTTCCTAGTGAAGGAGACAGCCATGCCCATGCCTCTTTCCCACTTCCTTCCTGTCATGACCCCAGACATCGTTCCTGGAGCTGGGACCGCTTCCTCGCATTCTGGAAGTAAGCATGAGGGGAAGCCAACAGAAGGGCAGATTCCCCAGCCAGACCGGCACTGTCCAGCTGCTGATGGAGAGTGAGCCAGCAGCAACCTGTCCTCCAGACTCCTGGTTGCAAAACCCAAACATTCCCACAGCAGGAAGCCTTCAGGAGTGATGGACATGCTTTCAGAAAGAAGGAACATTGGGTTATAGATATAACACTGAAGGCCCAGATAAGGTGAAATCCATCTAAAAAATTTTCCCTTCGGAGTATTTACTGTCTGTGAGAATGAGTCGATCTAATGGGGTACTATCAGCATGCCAATTTTTATCAACGTTAGCCCCAGTCACAGTAATTCTCCACTTAGATAAGCCAGCATCTTCTCCTCATTAGGAGACCTCTGTGCGTGCGAAATAACTCCCAGGACTCAGCAATGCCCTTTGGAGACCACCATGCAGTTCGATAATGTGATCCTCATCACTTTCGGGTGGAGAAGTGCAGGTCGTCCACCATGAACAGATGCAACTCTGTCAAGTTTACGGCAGCACCACATGCAGACACTTCCCGGGATACATGATGCAGACGGTCATTTTACTCACACGGAACCAAGAAGCTCTTCCCATCACTAAGCAGTGGCTCACAGGACACACCCTCTGAGGCATTTGCTGCTTTAATAGATGGCTTATTCCTCTTTTTACTTAGAGACCGGCACCAAAGAATCCCTACATTTTTAATAACGGAAAATATACAGAACTCAATATATTCCCCAAAACTATTAAATATAATCGCCATCAGCAGATTCCGGAATTAAAGCTCACATTTACTTCTTCCCCTACTAATCTTATGGAGTAAGCGGAGCTCAGTGACCCCACCTCTGTGTCTGGGGTGACTCTAAGCACTGGACACAGCTGGATCTTCTGATGGCACGCTTCCACTTCGTGAGGAGCCCCCCGCAGCAGAGAAGTTCTCCATGTGGGGTCACTGTGACGCCAGGGAAAACAGCACTGCACATTCTCAGAACAATCTTACCCAGATTCCCTGAGAAAGGGGAGGGCCTGTTGCATCCTGTCAGGATATGATAATAACACACACATCCGTCATTTTACATTTGTACAGGGAATCTGACTGAAGTGAGTAAAACTTTGGCGGACTCTAAATTGACTTCTGTGGTTTCATTTGTACAAGAGCGTCAAAATCCGGGGTCCCATTTTGCACACGTTTGTCTGGAAGATCATCTTATTAAGAACGTAGAGGACCCTGACAAGGCTGCCTTGTGGTGCCTGAAACACGGTCACAGCTAAAGGGGACCAGGAGGAAGCCGGAGGGGCAGGCATCAGCTGGCTCATCTGGAGTCTTTTCTTCATCTCCCTTTTCCTTCCCTTCACATTAAGAGGGTCATCAACCTTACATAAGCATAGACAACCCACCTCATTACCAGAACAGTCCTTGGGCTGAAGCCACTCCCTGAAGACATGTAGTCATCTTACTGCCTTCCCTGAGTGATCTCCAAATTACACTGTAAAGGAGATTATTCTTTTTCCTACACAGGATATTTCTTAGTCTCATCAGTAATGTATATGCTCTTGTGAGTTTTCCTAAGAGATTAAGTCCCTTTACTCACCAGCCTCCTGAGCATTTCAGCCTAGATCTTGAGGTACATATTCTCTTGGGCCTCCTCAATCCTATTCTCATATTTAAAATGTAGTAACAGAAAGCAAAATGAGAAATGTTTAAAAAGTGCTTTCATCTTTGGTCTGAGAACTCCCATACTTAAGGTATGAAATGGAAAAGATTATTTTTATACGGAGTAACTCACATTCTCTCTCAACAGGGGACATGCATTTGTCTAAAAAGAAATACACAGTCGTCCCTCAGTATCTGCGGAGGGTTGGTTCCAGGCTCACCTACCCACCCCCACCCCCACCCCCAGTAGATACCCAAATCGGCGGGTGCTCAATTCCCTTGTATGAAATGACATAGAACAATGCACACAGTTGGCCGCTGCATCTGCAGACTCAATCTGTGGTTGGTTGAAGCAAGGAATACAGAGGGCCAACTGGATATGTACTGAGAAAAATATACATAAAGTACACTTGTGCTGTTCAAACCAGGGTTCGAGGGACCACTGTACTATGTCATCGTTGGTGCAAAGAGCAGAAATAGAACGTGTCTGAGAATGTCTTTCAAGAGCTACTCTCCGGATGGAAATCAGAGTTCAATTCAGCCTTGTCTGCTTTTCTGCTTATCAATACAGTAGCAGAGAAGCAGACAGGGCTGACATAGATGGTCTGTGTCCTCTCCTTTATGACCTTAGAGAAGACGCTGCTCACTGAGACCAGTGATCTACACTAGGGAGCTACTGGTGCCGTGTGTCTTCCTCTGTTGAGAAAGTTTTGAGTAGACGCTCTGACTCCCTCCCAGGACCGACGCACGTGTGGCTTTTCCTGTGCCTGAAGAGATTCGAACTCTGACTGAAGGCTTTCCCACACTCGTGGCACTTGTAGGGCCTTTCCCCAGTGTGGATTCTCCGATGCTGAATGAGGACTGCGCTCCGGCTAAAAGCCTTTGCACACACGTCACATGCGAAAGGCTTCTCTCCACTGTGGATCCTCTGGTGGAGCATGAGGGCTGAGCTCTGACTGAACATTTTGCCACACTCGTCACACTCGCGCTGTTTCTTCCGAGAAGGATTTCTGTATCTTCTATCCAACGTGCCTTGGCTGCCGGTTCCTCTGGACGTGGAACTCTGGGAAGCGTTCCTGTGAACGGTGTTAGGAACATCGCCATGCAGTTCTACGCCCGAAGAAGTCTTTTGCCTCGAAGCTGATTTCACATTTTGAGTTCTAGTGTCCTCATCTGAAATAATACACAGAAAAGCCAATATCACCAGTTCCTCTGTTCGGAAAGAAAGGAAAAGAGAACGATCCAAATGAAATATACATGGTTTATGTATTAGCTAGCATGCTTTACAATAGCATCACAATGTGGAAGGAGAGGGTGAAGCAGAAAACACTGAGGTCATAAAGCAAAGGGGGAAAATGTATAGACCGAGGAGGCAGTCAACTAGGAATATGGAAAGCTCTATGTAGAAGGTAGAACGGTGAGTAGGGACCAAAAGGCATCTCAGAGACTGAAGGAAGTCTGGAGGAAAAGAGGAAGGGCCTCAAATCGATGTTTCTCTCTCTCCCCCTCTCTTCCCCTCTTTCTGAAATCCATTAAAAAAGAGAGGGCTCAACTATAGTAGTAGGTCGTAATAAACAAGAGTGTCAGTCAACAAAACAAAGCTTAATAATGACACTTGAATCAATAATTAAGGAAGGAGATGAAGAAAGCCAAGGGGACACAAAGGAAGATGGAAAATAAGGTCAGAAAATACAAATTAGGCGCAAGCGCGCGCACACACACGCACGCGCACACACACACACAGGTGCGGTGGGAGAACACAGAGCTAGGATAGCAGCACCTCAAGAGATCCAGGGTAGCACAGAGTACCCATCTAAGAAACACCACCACTCTTCTGCCGTTTACAGTGCTACTTAAATGGCATCATTACTGGTTCAAATGGAAATCATCTTATTAGTAATGGTAAGGAGCTCAACTTTCAAAGCGACCAGAATGTCACTATTATCGAAATCCCGGCAACAGTTAGCACCTGACAGCATGGAGGCCAAGATCATCCGCAGAAGCTCCGACATGACAGGACTCTGTACCGAGGAAATCATGTGGCAGCCGTAAGACACGGTTCTGTTAGCCTGTCATGATTCCGGTTCTCTCTGCCTTGAAGTGAAAGATCCTGGGCCTTCTGCTTTGGTTTAAAATTTCTATGCATTTAAGAAAGTATGCTTTCATTGATTTTTAGAGAGCAATGGAGGGAGAGGGAGAGAGAGAGAGAAACATCGATGTGAGAGAGAAACATTGATCACTTGCCTCCTGCACACACTCCTACCAGGGACTGAGCCTGCAACCTCTATGCATCTTTTAAAAATGTAGGAGAAAAATGCCGGGACCTGTTTGGCTCAGAGCGTCGGCCTGAGGACTGAAGGGTCCCAGGTTCGATTCCGGTCGGGAGCGTGTGCCTTGGTTGCGGGCATATCCCCGGTGGGGGGTCTGCGGG